GGGGAATTGTGGAGGGGGTTGAGAAGGGGAATTGTGGAGGGGGTTGTGGAGGGGGTTGAGAAGGGGAATTGTGGAGGGGGTTAGAAGGGGAATTGTGGAGGGGGTTGGGGAGGGAGTTATGGAGGGCTTGTGGAGGGGGTTAGAAGGGGAATTGTGGAGGGGGTTGTGGAGGGGAGTTGTAGAATGAGGTTGAGGAGGGGACCTAGGAGGGGACTTGGGGAGGGGAGGGTGAGGGGCTTAGGAAGGGGGTAGGGAGGCACTTATCTGAGTCTTGAAAGCTCATTCAGTAAGGAAACCTGGGCAGATGACAGCTACAGCCTCACTTTTAGTTCCAAGCTCCCTTCAGTGAAGGCAAAGGGGGAAAGAATGGGCACTATTTACTTCTCACTTGTTGAGAAAAAGACACACGTTTTTTTCCAGGAACTAAAAATGAAACTCTAGAGCAGGTTTCTCAGATTTATTTTTAGTGTATAAAAGTCCCCTCAACATCATCAAACATGGAGAGTTCTGGAGATTGTCACTCAGTAGTTCCAGGGTATAGCCCAGGACTGAACTTCAATAAGTTACCCAAAATAGCTCTAATGTAGGTGTCCTCCCTAGAAAAACCCACTTTAAAAAAATACTATCATGAAAGGAAGTTAGTTCTCTACTCATTTGTCCTGATGCATTGAGGACAGACTGAAGAAGACAGAGGGACACCAACTTTTGGGGCCTCCTCTCAGACGCTGCCCAAGGGCCCCCTGGACCCCAGCTCTGTACTTCATTCTTCATGCCAGCTGCCCCCTTAACCCCCAAAGGCAAGGGCTGGGGTCTGTGGGGGGAAGGCCCGGTGTCATCGGTGAGCTGCTGAAGATCTTCAGCTCTGTTTGGATAGACACAGTCTCTGGGCAAGGAACCATGCCACAGATGCTGATTTTAAAGCTTTTCTTCCTTCTCAGTGTCTGACAGATGTGAGCATACAGCGAGCAGGGTTAGCAGCAGCAGCGGCGAGCAGGGGCATCAGGGAGCAGGGGCAGCAGCAGCGAGCAGGGGGTGGGGTGGGGGGACAGCAGCGAGTAGGGGCAGCAGCAGCAGAGAGCAGGGGCAGCAGCAGAGAGCAGGGAGGGGGCAGCAGCAGCAGAGAGCAGGGGCAGCAGCAGCGAGCAGGGGGGGTGGGGTGGGGGGACAGCAGTGAGTAGGGGCAGCAGCAAGTGGTGCTCTCTGTGCTCCTCTGTGACCTTGGGTGCTGGAACTCCTAGGTCTTGGTGGCAGCAGTGTTAACCACTCTGAGTCCTGGGTCTGAGATCCTTCAGATTCTGGACATCTCTCTGGAGCCATTTCAGAGACTAGGGCCTGCAGATTCTCTTCTCTGGCCCCTGACAGCCCTTTATCCTTTTATAAACTATCTGCTCTCTCCTGTCAGCTCACCACTTCTAATGGTGTGAGAGCAACCATGCACCCTATGGCACAGCATCAGGGTGCTGGGTGCCCATTCGATGCCCGCAAGGTCTTCGCTGTCTACAAGGAGGTGTGCCCACATGCCCACATGATCGGCCCATGGTGCCTTCAGAACCAAGCCAAAGCTGACTCAACTCTTAGTGTTACAGCTTGCTTAGCTTTAAAACTGTGCTCCTTGCCACCGTTTCTGTCTTCTTTTACCAGCTCAGCCCGCACTCGAACTCTTGAAAGCAGGGAAGGCAAGAGCACTCCAGGCCCCAGTGTTGCAGCACTGGGGGGCAGTTCAGGAAGGCACTTGGCAGCAGACACCCCAGCTGAGTCTAAGCAGCCCGGGTCACAGACTACAAGAGCTGGGACGTGCTTACACCCACCACACGCGTCTGTTTGGCCCGTCACAGCTGTTGGTTTAGAACCAATCACGGTTGTGGAGGTTTGTGTTTTGGATCAATCATGGCCTTGTTGTGTGCCCCCCCACCCCGTGTGTGTGTGTGTGTGTGTGTGTGTGTGTGTGTGTGTGTGTGTGTGTGTGTGTGTGTGTCCGGGAAGTGCTCCTCCTCTGGCCAAGGTGGAAATGGTTCAGAAGGCTTAGCCCTCTGTGGAATATTCAAGATCACTGGAGCCAGTAAGCTAGCAAGGATAGTCCAGTTGGCTGTAAAACCTATAGCCTGCTTGTTTGCTCAGGACAACTTAGATGACAAGAAAAAATGAGAGTGTCAAATTGTCCCATCCTTGTCTCTGCTTCCTTGCAGAAAGTGAGTTTCAGAAGGAGTGCTTGTTGACAATAAGTAACAGCAGTTTTAACAGTTGTAAACAATACCCAACATATGCCCAGAGCCTAGCAAAAAGTTAGTCTCACAAGAAGTCAGTTATCTAAGTGACCAGCAAAGAGTGTGGGGCAAGAGCTGGCAGCTGGACTTGTCAGGAGGAAACTGGCCATGCAGGGTCAGGTACTGCCCCTCCAAATGCAGGGAGCAAGCTAGCCTCATGCCGCCCGGGGCTGCAGCTCTCTGCACACACTGGGGTTTAGTCTCCTCTTGCTGCTGCAGACGTTACTCTTGCTGCTCTCTCTGACGTGTCTTTGGTTCCTGGGGCCATCGTTGGTTCCCCCCCCTCCATTCATGCAGCCTTCAAGAGGATTTACAGCCTTGGCTGCTCTCAGCAACCTTGTCTGAGGGCCTGCCGCCCCTCAGTAAGTACCAAGGAGCTGCCAGCCCCTTCTCTGGAGACAGAAAAATGGTTTGGAAAGCTTGCAGCCGTGCGTGTGTGGGTGTTGAGAACACTGTAGAAGCATGTGATATACATGGGGTGATCATAGGAAGCTGAATATACAAATGGCAATCCCTGATCATATGTGGAAACAAGAGGAAACCTCCCTCTTGTTTCCAGCAGCCAATTCAGAAGACAGCAACATTGCAGGAAGGTTACTGTCTGACAGGGACAGATGTTTATTCTGCTGTCTGATTCTGGGGAAACCAAGGATAGACTGTTCACCAGCTGCTGAAAACAACAGCCCGGACTTACTGTAGCCTGAACTTCCAGGGAGTCTGCCTGCAGCCTCTCACTCGATATGCTGGGATGCTTTCCCAGCCCCGGCCTGTCTAAAGGTTCCTGCCAAGGATAGTAGCCTGCTCCCTTGCTAGAATGAGCTTGGAATTAATTGGCCACTGTTTGTTCTTGTTTGCTCTATTCCATGGTGTCCAGGAATGTGTGTGGAGGGAGAGCTTTGAGTGCATTTATGAGGGTGTATGGGGGGGGGAGTGTGTCCAAGCATGGGTATACCTGTGTGTGGTGTGTGTACCACAGGGTCTGTGCATGCGTGGGTGAGGTAACACTACACGAGAGCGTGTGTATGTGCATGGGTGTGTGAGGTAGTGTTGCGCGTGTATAACACTACATGAAGGTGTGTGTGTGTGTATGGTGTATGTGTGTGTGCTCACGCATGCCTGGGTATGTTGGTAAGAACACAGTTTGGGCAGAAGCAATCCATGGACAGAAAGCTGGCATTCACAGTGAGAGCTTCACGCTTCTCCACTGAGTCCTTGGGCTTCCTCAGCCTCTATGGTCCATGGAGTGAGGACACAGGCAGAAAGCAATGGTAGTGGCAGGGAGCCGCTTCTGTAGATTGAACCGATGGCTGGAAAAGCCATACTCTCCGGGAAAGGGAGTCAGCAGCCTTAGAGCCAAAGCTAGAGGTTGGCTCACCTCTGTGACCCCTCGAGCCTGTGAGGCCTCAGGGTGTGTCCTGGACGCCCCCCCATCCTTTTCTCCTTGCTGTTCCACAGCTCTCTACATGCACCTGTGGACCTGAGTCACAAAGACCTGTGCCTCAGGGTGAGGACCGAGGCCCTGCTTTCCCGTGTACCAGAATTTAATCTGAGGCCCTGGCAGTCACTTTCCAGAATTAATGGTTGATGAAATGAGAGCAAACAGAGGTAAATAGCCCTTTTCCTGCCACACAGTCCCTGGTGATTTTAGCTGCAGTGGGTGGGTCTCTGGGGTGTTACCACTTTCCGATCAATGACGGTAATTTTCTTTCGCTGAGAGCCGCTGCATCAAGCGGGCTAGGGCCTTAGTGAGCACAAAGGTCAAAAGAAAACGGTGCGCTGGGCAGGGGTCTCTGCAGTCCTGCCTTCTGCTGCCCATCATCCTAACAGAGTGACTCTCACTGCTCAGAACTGACACAGAGCCGGCTGTGACACTAAACTGCCCGCCCTTGCCTGCTGTAGCTCAGCTCAACACTGGCTGGAAGGAATCGGACAAATAGCTCACCCTTGTCAAATGTGTGCCTCGGCCCAAGAGCCCAAGCTGTGTTTAAGGGGAGGATGACGATGTCAAAGTGAAGCTCAGAGCCCCCAGGACCCAAGCTTCTCTTTTGCAGGTGTGTTTCCCAGCTGGAGAAGAGCTCAGTCCCGCAGGAGTGACAGCCACCCAGACTCCGCACCACAGTGTCTGGGAGCCAGGGGCCTGGTGACTCTCCGCGAGAGTGTGCTGAATAGCTCCCACTCTGCTGCTTTCTTATACGTCATCCGGTTCTGAATACATCTATTTTCTTTTGCATTGTCCCCAAAGGCAAGAGTGTAGTGTATCAAGAGTGGCTCTGTCACTTTAAGACATTCAAATGCACTCTGGAAGTCCACAAACACACTGAGTGTCATGTGAATCACCACTGTTTATGTAGACAAGAACTGAGGTCACCACTGGAAGGCAGTGGGTTAAAGAACAAGTTTATGGCTGTGTCAGGGGCGGAGGAACCTTGGTCACTTGGTAGGCTTATGCCTAGTGGCTCACCTGGGACTGGATGGGGAGGAGAGTGACATTCCTCTTTAGAGGAGTCAGAGGCTGGCCTCTTCTTCGCTTCCCTGTTTCTAGGCACCACAGCAAATGCAATTAGGTAACTAGTTAGTAACTGCATAGGTGCCAGTCCAACCAAGGGAAGGGCTCCAAAGCATTCTAGCCACCCCGGTATGCAAAAGACCCTCCCTCCTTCATTGTTTCCACTGGGGAGGATTTCTGGCCTTATCTTAATCCTATTCAATCCTGTTTTTCTGGTTAACAGGTCCGCTTTCCACCTGCACGTCCAGTCTCCCGGGGAAGGAAGGTGCAGCATTGTTGGTAGGTCCAAACAGGGCATCTGGGAAGCAGGCCCTGGAGGGCTGATGCCAAGGAATGAGTCTGGCTGGCTGGAGAGCAATGGACTAGCGGTTTTCTGCTGCCTTGACAGCCGGCGCTGTCCACCTCAAGAGTCACTAAGTGCGTGAAGTTGTTTAAATTTAAAAATTAAATTTGCTTAATGTAAAAGTTCACTTCATACGAGACTCAGTCCAGTGCACAGCAGACAATGTGGCTAATGACTATTACCAGACAGAGCTGATTTGAGACAATGCCATCAGCACTGAGTTCAGGGCTGTGCTATCCAAGGCTCTGGACAGCTCCACAGATCCGCTAGAACAGTGTGCAAACTTGTCAAGCCAGAACGCGCGTTTGTGGTCCAGGCCCTTCCTGATGCTGAATGACACCTGACCGAGGGACTCTGGTTTCTCAGGGACAGAAAGGTGGAGGCCCAGGCTCCCAAAGGCTAGGGAGGTGCTAACTGAATCAGTGCTGGGCGAGCAGCTCCTCTGTTGCAACTCTTGCCAGTCTGACAGGCTCCTGCAGAGTTACATCACTTCCTAAAAATCAGGCAAACACCTCTCCTTCAAGTGAGCACCGACCCAAAGGAGCAGGAAACAGGAAATGTGCGCGTCGGAGGGAGGCTGGGGCTCTGCAGCATCCTGAGCCAGGACGAGCCAGCTGAGATGACTGTGCTGCGCATTGCCCTGGTCTTGGCCCTGGGACTCACATTCGGTCACTCTGATCAGGGTAAGTGACCTCCAGCTGGGAACAAGGATAGGAAGCCTGTAGGTGCCCGAGGCTACGGGACTCCTTCGGGGAGGGTCCCACCCAGAAAACCTAATCCTTCCGTGAAACTTAAAGGCGAAGAAAAGTAAAACTGTCTTTGGAAGGGCAGGGCTGGAGGATGGGTCTTACTTTCACCGCAGCCTCTCGCTTGTTCTAAACCCCCGGCTATCTTTGCCTTTTATGATCCCTGTAATTAATCAGCTTTACTGGGCACATTAAGAAAACCATAAACTTTTTGGCAGTTCATGGAAAAGAATGTTCCAGTCTCCTAAAAGACAGAAGTAATCATTTCACTTTAATAGCTGAGAACTCTGCCAATTCCAAAAACTTCTTGGGGAGAGAAAAAGGAAAACAAAACTACTAGGGAATGGAACTGTACTCTTGGAAAGGATTGGGATGAAGATGTAAATGGGAAATGAGTTACCAGGCATCCATTCATCCATCTCTAACATCCAGATAATTCTTTGATCTGGTTTTCTTTGATCTTGGTACTATGGGGGATGTTTTCTTTGCGCCCATTGTTACTAATGAACATTTGCTTTAAAGGCTAATGTGATTACAGGTGATCAAGGTACTGGGAGAGACAGTACCACAAATCAATCTGCGAGGCTGAGCAGCCTTTGACTGGCTGTCTTGGCAGTTGCCACAACAAGCAAATGCTCACTCTCTCCTTTGCCTCTGGAGGTTCTGCTGACTTGCCCTTTGTAGATGCGCTTGGTGTCTGGGGATGGGTAGATAATGCCTACTTCTAGGGGAGGGCTGTATCTAAAGCAGAAGGAAAATGTGCCATTGTTATTTAGATAGGGTGGTGACATCAGACACTGATGACACAGAGACCGCAGCTTCCACACCTCTCACAGCCTCTCAGGCTGTCTTGCAGGGCACCCTTTCCGTGGTGTGTGCAAGTGTCTGAAGCAGCATGTGAGGGGAGTGTGTGCTACTTTCAAAGTGAGATGGGAAGTGTGTCCTTGTGTTTGTGCACTGGGCTTTGGAGCAGGGAGGAAGTGGCAGGAGCCATGAGCACATGCGGGAAAAATCCTCTTTCATTTACCGTTGACTTTCCTAAGCTCTGTCAGAGCTTCGCACACTAGGAACTTAGTAACTGTTAACAAATATTAAAGCCATCCCTGGAATGGCTATGAGGCTGATCTTCACAGAGCCCAGGAAGCGGAGGTACAGAGGAAGGTCAGAAGCTAGAGGTGCAAGCGAGGTTGCGGTGCTGCGTGCAGAGAGCGTCTCTCTGTAAGCCGCGCTGCTTGGGGCCCTGCCTGTATCCCCAGTGTCTTAAAAGATGTAAAAACACCACTTGCAGAAAGCTGCATGCTAAGGCTGTGTACTTGGACATTAGTCAAGGAAAGGCTAGTCCACACTGAAGCTTAGGCTTTAAAGCAATCCGTGCACATCCTTTTGAACCAGTTGTGCTTAAGAATATGAGTTAGATTGCAGTTTTTGATGTCTTTACTTATTAAAAAATAAGGTGTAGAGGGATGTGTAGTAGAAAACTCCTGAAAGTGCCACTCTCTCTATCACAAGCATCTTCTGAGATCTACCCCAAACGAAGCCTTTATGACAACAAGCAAGCAAGAGTATACAGTACTTCCAGTTGCAGGAGCCCAGCCTCGGTCCCTGTGTGTCAGCCTGTCTTTAGTGGACAGCCTGGTTCAGAATTGAGAACCATGTCAAGTGAAACTATACCCTGGGAAACAAGCGGGAGACAAGTAGGAAAACATCTTTCCTTGGATTTTGACCAAATCAATGAGTGTAGCTGAGGCGAACTCTGGACAGCACGTCTCAGCCAGCGTGGGGTCTTCAGCAAGCTGGCGTGGAGGTCTGTGTATAGGAAGACCAAGCGTTGTGGTCCCTGCATATTAGTAACAGAACTGTATTTGTTTGCCTTGGCCAGGACCTGTCCACAGGAAAAGGAACGGTGAGAGTAGGTTTTTAATGTGGGCTGCTGTAAGGGAAGTAGAGCTGAGGTAGATGCTGAGTGAGCAGAGAAGCTGGGGACTAGCAGGGTTGAGAGCAGAGTGCTAAAGCCACCAGATGAGAGGCTTTGGGGTGTGGGAACGGGGAGAGAAAGAATGGCCCCTGCACAGCTGAGAGCTGACTCCAGAGAGGCAATGGTCTTGGGGATCTAAAGCTACAACAAAACAAAAGAGAGGAAAGAGAGGAGACAAAGAGTAAAGAAGAAAGGACAAATACTGACATTGGTGGTGCATGCCTGCCATCCCAGCATGGGGGCGGGGGGGCTCAGAAGGACTGGGGTCAGTGCTTAATTGGGCCTTATAGAGATCCAGTACCAACAAGAACAACAGCAAACCAAACCAAACAGCAGGGGATGGGCTTAAAAGTGTCTACAGTTCCAAATTCCAGGAAGCTGTGAGAGGAGGGCTTTCGGGATGGGCTCAGTTCTGTGAAGACACAGTGTGCCCTGTGCCTGGCCAGCCAGCTTCAGTTAGCAACACCCTCTCTCAAACACTGCCCACGGTGTGGAGAAACAGGAACTGTGCAGGGCAGTCTGCAGCTCAGCCCGCCCACCGAGCTTTTGGTTTTAGTGATCATGATTTACATTTCTAGAAAGTCTAACATATAAAGGTTTGTTTTTTTAAATTTTTTTACTTAGGCTTGGTTATTTACTTCCTGTTCATGTTATGTCTGCCATTATCTACTGGGCGGTTTTCTTCTAACACCTGTATAGACTGACTCTTGCTGCTTGCTGGACTGTTGGCTTCCCAGGCACGAGGGAAGTCCTGAGGGCACTGGGGGCAGAGCCTGGCATGCAGGGAATGGCTCACCTATCATTTGACGCCAGATTCTCTCCATCAACCCCTAGCCCTGGAAAGTACAGCGTCCTCCTCTATACTACACACTAGGAATGAGGCCAGGGCTGGCTTGGGCTTAGAGGAAGTTATGACTGGACCTTGGGTTTCACCTCAGCCATGGGGCAGGCAGACAGTAAGACTCAGTCTCTGACCGTTGCGTGGGGAGGACGTCAACACCTCTGGAAAGATGTAAGCCATCAAAGCAGAACCAACAGTGAGGCCAGTCAGTAACCAGGAGGAACCATGGGGACAGGGAGATGGCCAGTGAGAAAGGTAGAGACAACTGAGCCAGACTGAAGATCTGAGGAGGCCTGGCTTCCACATGGTCGAGGTTGTCCTGGCTGACACTGAGTGTGGAATATTGTTATCCACCACACATATCCTTCAGGTCATGGCCTGGTGTTGTAGCTTTAACTTTTGACACAGTTATTGGATAGGCATTCCTTAAAAACATTGCATGGTCTCTTATATCCCCAGAACCAGATAGGCTCTGGGTTTTCATTTCTTCTATAATCTTGTTTGTTTAGGATTTTAAAAGCTGTTTTGTGAAATAGGATCTGCCTCTGTAGCTCAGGTTAGCTCAAACTCACAGTCCTCTGACCTCAGCTTTCTGGACATGAGGCCCTTAGATTTCTTTATACATTTACAGGCAACTTCTCTTGTTTCATCTGGTATTTCTAGCTGTTGCTCACTGGGAACACTTTCTTAAATGGATCAGTTGCTGGAGAGGAGAGTTTTACTGTGCAGGCATCCTGGAGGGTGGCTTGGAAATGTTCTCACTCTGTCATCTCAAGGGCTTATTCCAGATCACACAGGAATGAATGGGCAGCCAGTGTTGACTGTGCCATTTGTAAATCTATGGGAGAGAAGGAAAATCTAATGTTCATCCACAGAAGAAGGGGAGATAGATAGAACTTTGCAGTTTTAGAATGAGAGCCACGGAGCGAGCCTGACGAACCTGAGCTTCTAGTATCATGGATCCGTCTCAAAAGAACGCTAGCGAGAAACAAGAGATTAATATGTACGAGGTCAACATCTCCACCTTTTGGGGAACTGAAGCAGGGGGATTGCTGGAACCATGAAATCTGAGACTAGCCTGGGCAGCACAGACCCTTAACTCAATATTATTATTCAAATAATCGCCGTGTTTATCTTAAGTTTCTAAAGTGTCCCAAACTATGTTATGCATGGCTTAGATGGAGCCATGGATGTATTTGAAAACATGGATACACACTAACTTTTAAGTGCTTACTTTTGTGAGTAAGGGATAGAAATTATATCAAGTATGGCCATGCCTCTTACTGAGCTTTCTGCCAGTGTAAAAAAAATCCGAGGAAGGGCTAGGGATTTAGTTAGGTACACATGAGGCCCTAGGTTCAAACCTCAGTACCAACCAACTGACCAACAGACAAAAAGGCACAAAAGCCAAAACAAACAAATGAACAAAACCAAGGTAAAATATTTGAAGAAATGAGCTTCTAAGGAAGAACGATTTATTTTAGGTCATTGTTTGAGTCCACGGTCAGTTGGCCCATGTTGCCTTCGGGCCTGTGGTGAGGTGGTACATGATAGTCAGGAGCCTGTGGTTTAGAAAACTGCTCACTGTGAGGCAGCTGGGGAGCAGAGATGGGGAAGGGTATCTCCTTCAAGGCCATGCCTCCAGACCTGACACACCAGGTAATAGTGTCACAACCTGGCAACCAAGCCTTCAAGACAGGGATTTGGGGAGACATTCTAGAGCCATACTGTAACAATGGCTGTAGTACTGTCTCCTTGAGGTGAGAAGGACAACAAATGGCTGGGAGACAGTTCAGAAGTTCAGAGCTCTTTTTGGGTTTGATTTCTTTTTTGAGACAGGCTTTCTCTGTGTAGCCCCGGCTGTCCTGGATAATAACTTGGTGCTGCTTTGTGGGCAGTGAACAGAGATGGGCAGGACACTTTGGGCACAGTCTGAGGTCCCTGAGCAAAGCTTCCCCAATGGTGCCATCCTTCTCCTTGGCACTAGCTTCTCTATGTATCACACACAGTCAATCCTCCATAACCAGGCTGGTTCCCAGTATGTCTGGTATGGCTATTTGTTCCAGTTTTGTTCCTAGCCACCTTATAATCAGGTTGCACAAATCCTGAACAATTATTTTTTAAGTGATCAATAGAAAACAAAGCAACCACTTAACAGTGTATAAACCTATTCACTTTGCTCCTAAGGCTCCTTTCTGCATATGATCCCCAACTCACTTAAAAAGATCAGTCCATCACTATGAGTCATGGTGAATGAAAGCTCTGTCCACTCATTCATGATTTAGCTCAGTAGGTCTCAACCCAGCAAACATAATTGCAAGAGTTATCTAGGAGTGTTTTAAGAAATACTGTTGGGACCAGGGCTATTACTTGGCATCGGAGTATGCGTGTCACAGGAGCAAGGCCCTAGGGTTGATTCTGAGACACATACCCTGTTACCCAGGTTACGTCTCTAGATAGCATCAAATAACTGGTGAAGCTGAGAACAGTTGCTGTTGGGGACGACTGATTATCATTTACCACAAAATTGCCTAGGCAACAACCTCCAGATCAGTGAACTGTCTTGGGATCTAACTCAAGCCCACTACGTGGGGGCACTGGGAGCACTAAGTGGGGACGCTGGGAGAAGTTCCCAGCAGTCTATGCTTCATGAACTTTCCTATACAGTTCCAATGACCACAGGCTTCAACCACCATGCATGGCATCAGTAGACCTCTTTGGGAGATGCAGGTTCTAAAGCTAGGCACACCTCTCATACTTGTTCAGAAAGGGGAGTGCTCGGTGCTTGTCTTGTTCCTCTTCTAACATACCCTGGCCAGCATCTCCCAGGGGCTCAGCTTTCAACCTTAAGCCATTGGGATCTGCTGATAGGTTGGGTATTAGGTTTCCAGCCTTGAGTCTTGATTCTTGTAAAGTTTGCTGAATGAACATTAGAATAACAGTGAGTTGAGGTAGCCCTTAGAAGTTGGTCTCAACCTTGGCTACATCCTGGAGAGCATCAAAGCCTTTGCCCCAGCCTCTGATGTAGATACTATGGGCTGGGGTGAGAGCTGAGTATCAGGTTTTTAAGTGCCCCAGCGGGGCGAATGTGCAGCTGCCAGAGGTGCCCTTGACTTTAAACTTTGGTGTTCAAGACAGGATATCACGTAGCAAGAGATGACCTTGAACTTGTGGTCCTCCTGCCTCTAACCCCAAAGAGCTGGGATTGTGGGTATGCTTAGTTTCTCCAGAGCTGACGTTTCACCCAGGGCTTCATGCCTGCTAAGCAAGTACTCTGCCAACTGAGCTATAGCCCTACTCCCTGCTTGGTTTTCTTTTCCTTTTTTGCTTCTATTTCTAACACAAATTGAACTCTTTGCTCTACACAGATGTCAGGGATGACATGTAAGTGGGAGTCTTGGGTCTAGTTTCTTGAGCATCCTCAAATTAACACAAGTGGTCACTTACTCCAGAGCAGGAGAGAGAGCATGGGGTGCCAGGTGGGCACTGTTGCATATCATTGTCTGAGTTCAAAGAACCTAAGTCATCTGGGCACACACTCTGCACTATCAACAAAGGCAAGAAAGGGCATCTGGCTGACGGCATCCCCTGCTATCCTGAGTTAGGAAACATTCTCTTATCGTTGCTTTATTTCACAGGACATCCTCAGTGTGGAGTTCTCTTGGTTGGTACGAGATACACCCCCATTTCGAAACCAGCAAGGGTCAGGTGTAAGTCAGTGGTGGAGCATATGTTCCCGCGCACAGGACCCCCAGCACCCAGAACCAAACAATCTTCATTCCCCAACTAGACAGCACAGCAGCAACCACAAAACCTAGGTCTTGATTACACATTTGTTCCACTTTCAAAAAACGAGAAGTTAGCTGGCTTGCTTCACCAAGAAGCGAAGTCATTTCCACTTAGTGGCCATCAGAGTGGTGACAACGGCGTACACGTGGCTCAGCTGCTGGAACGCCCAGATATCATCTCCTTCCTTCCCCCACTCAAGATTTCCCCCAGGGCCCTCACCAGTGTCTGAGTCCCAGATGTGTTGGCATGAATACTGTCAACAGGCATTCATAAGGGGGCCGGCACCACTACCTGGCGGCTTGGGGCTTAACAGTCAGATGATGAAATGTAGCTTTGCTTCATCCTCAAGTGACTGACAGCTTCTGTCACCTTCCAATGAGCACAGAGGGAAGGAGAAATGATGAAACAAAGGAGCCCTGGGCAGTCTGCGGTGGGGTCACTTGAGATAACCGTGACCAGGCCACCCGGGTCACTCAGGAAGCTCCTGTTAGACCTGCAGACAGGTGATGGGCATGGGTGACCCCCACAGGGCCCGCTGCACTTCACACAGTACCTTCCGGATTTCTTCTGCCTCGTGTCTTGCTGACACCTCTCTTCCCCACACCCGCCCTGTGCTCGCCTCGCCGTCAGCTTCGCCTGGTTTATCCCCACCCCATCACTCACGTCCTGAACAATATCCAAATTTAGACTAGAAACCAGGAAGTTACAGCAGGGAGATGGAAATCCTGGGGACAGGGGACAAGGAGAGAAGATGAGCAGGGTCAAAGGTAATGTCAGATACACACCCCGGTGTATATGTACTCCAGGGCCCAGAAAACACTTACCCATTTGACATGCCTTCAGGGACGCTATGAGGAGAGCCGGTGAGAAGGCCTTCGGGGGTGCTTTCAGGGACCAGGCTCTAAAATGGAAACAGGTCCCTTGGTTATGAGCATGGGGAAGTCTTGCGTGCACAGGGTGTCCAAGGCCCACAGGAGAAAAGCTATAAGCTCTGGGGAGCCTAGGTGGTGCCCACAGCTAGACTCACTTCCTGAGGATCTCGCATCCTCCACCACTGAGATAGACCATGTTGCTTACTGTCTAATACACCCACTGACATTCACAAAGCACAGGCAAGTGTTCCTTAGAAAAGACTAGAGTTCGTGGGTGCATAGAGGCCACGTAGTGGTTTAGGGCTTCCCTGTGTCCACTGGGCAAAAGCTGCCTTAACTCAGTGGCTGTGGGAGAAAAAATAGAAAACTGTAATCCTTTGGGGTAAAGCCCCGCAGCTGCTGGCTCCACCCACATCATTTTGTCTCCTCCGACTTTAACTCTGAGTTCCACCTTGATATTCGTGCATCTGGTTTCCTCTAATTCTTACTCCTAGTGCCTGGGCGGCCTGCGCCTGGCTACGGCTGCTCTGGTCTTTTTCAGCTCCCTTTTCCACGGCATTGACTCCTCTTACCACAAACTCTGGGTTCCGATGCCCGTGCTTTCAGCGTTTTTCCTTCTGACCTCCCTACCCACGTTCTGAGCCAGGCTTGTCTTAGGGAGTTGAGACCAACCATCAAGGGTCGGGCAATGCAGCCCCCTTATCCTACGGTCTCCCATGCCCTCCTCTCTTGGAGGTACACTGAACTCACCCACGTGACAGCTGAAGAGTCAACGGGGATGCTATTGCAGTGAGGCCAGAAACACAAAAGGAACATCAATAAGAGCTGGTGATGGCACAGCCAAATAACATGGAGGAAAACCTGGCTGTCTATAGACACTCACGGAGTCATCTTCAAGAGAAACTTCTTAGAGCCGAGGAAAGTGCCAGGAGCTAGAGGGATGGTTCAGGGCCTTAGCGCACATGCTACTGTTACAGAGGGCCTGGGTTCAGTTCCTAGCACCCACTTTCCTATTTATTTATTTATTTATTTATTTATTTATTTTGAGCCAGGGTTTCTCTGTGTAGCCACAGCTGTTCTGGAACTTGCTCTGTAGACCAGGCTGGCCTTGAACTCAGAGTTCCATCTGTCACTGCCTCCCAAGTGCTGGGATCGAAGGCATGCACCACATTTCTAAAAAGAAAAGCAAACAAACCCCTTGTGCATCTTTAGAATGTAGCCCAAGTGACAGGACTGCTCCCCAGGGAAAGACATCCTCGCTTATTCATTGGTAAAGTATGGAAAGTAAAGTTTGAAAGGTCAAATAAGATGACATGGGGTGGGTGGGTTATGTGTCTGTGGGAGTGGGGTTTATCCTAGAAGCTAGCATACAGTCGGGGTGGGTCCGGTGCTCTTTGAGAGAGAGCACACTCATGCTCTGGGGCATGGTTTAGTGGTGCAGTACTTGCTTAGCACGCAAGTGTCCCTGGGTTCCACAAAATTAATTTAGAAAGCAGAGAAAGAGCAGAGACAGAAAGAACTCTCAGCCCTCATTTACTTAAATAGACACTGGAGAGCCTGATGGAAAACATGTCTGAGCCTGTGGGGTGTGCTGTAGGGAGAGCCTGCAGCCCCTTTAAACTCCACAGTGCCACCAATGGCCACCTGCCTGGTCTTGAAAATCAGAGTACATAGCCCGGGGCCACCTGGGACATTTTCCCCCTTTTCTTCCTGCCAGTGCTCTGTTGCCAGGAGCCTCTAGTTACTCTTACTGGCCTGTATCCTTCCCTATTTTCTCTTCTCTGGGGCCACGGGTCAAGTGCGGAGGAAGACACTGAGTGTTCTTCCGGGACCTTGGTCCGTGTGAAGAGAAGCTGTAATGACGTTGTTCTTTTGGGCAGAGCTGCCTGGTGCATCCTGGGCGGGCGAGGAGAACCCGGCAACGCTGAGCTTCCTCAGAACTATTTCCTCACCTGCCCCTGTGCCAGAAAGCACCGCCTGTTCTAGGCTGAGGGACGAGAACCAGGGTCCACTCTTCTGCTCCCTGCCTGGTGGCTAAGCCCCGTGATTGTCAGCATCACTCCCCCACAAGGGAAAATGCGTTACCAGGTTAAAATCTCAGGTTCCACCGTGAGTCCCCAGAGATACAGATTTTCTCTTCTTCATGTCAACTCTGTGACCTTGATCAAGTTGTGTGAACTCTTCCCAGTATCTATCTGCAAGCAGAGAGGGGATAAAATAGAACGATACAGGTAAAAGGCCTGTTTGTTTGTTTGGTTTTTTGTTGTTGTTGCTGTTGGTTTTTTTTCAAGACAGGGTTTCTCTGTGTAGCCCTGGCTGCCTTGGAACTCGCTTTGTAGAGCAGGCTGGCCTCAAATTCAGAGATCCCTCTGCCTCTGCCTCCTGAGCACTGGGATTAAAGGCGTGCGCCACCACTGTCAGGCAAGGCTTGGCTCTTGGTAAATCCTCAAGAAGCAGGAGTGTTGTGTCACACACCTGCAATCCCAATGCTCTGGAAACTGAGGCAGGGGGATCCTGAGTTGGAGGTAAGTGCGGGCTATGTAGCAAGACCTTCTATAAACAAACAAGCAAACAAATAAATAAATAAGGAAAATTAGCCTGAAACAAGCAACGGTACCCACAGCTGCAGCAGGGGAGGCAAACCAAAGGAAAGCATGTCTGGAGTAGTAGCATGTCTGCACAGCAGTAGAGCACACGCTTTGCATGTGCTGAGTGTGGTACCCAGCAAAGAGGGGTGAGGGAGAGATATGAACATCTCTGGTTTCCTTCTTTTCACCCAAGGGCATTAACCTCGTCTTGGGGGCCCCATCTCCTGATACCATCACACTGGAGATTAGGGGTCACCATAGGCGGGTCACAAGTAGTCCATAGCTGCAAGTAAACAGTTACTTTCGTCGCTGGCATGTGAATCAGAGGAATTCACTGTCACGCAATTACAAAGAAAGATAAACCACTGAATGGCTCTGTACTGTCCAGCTTGGTCATCCTTGGTCATGGCCCAGCCAGAGTACAGCCTAAAGCCACTGACCTCTCCCTGGGCATCACGCCTTTCTCCTTATAAAGTACTACTTGTGTGTCTTCTGAATATAAAACTTTCCTCTGTTGGACCAGGGTGAGTATGAGACAGCCTCGAACCATGACAGGAATTCTTAATTTAAGATGTGTTACAGTAGGTTTAAGCTGTGGAACACTTGTTTAATGATGCAAAGATGTGCTGCAGTTCCTTTACATTGCATTTGTTTTATCTCTGTGAAGCTGGGCTACTTTGTCTGCCTAAAACACCTGATCTGTCTGAGAAAGAGCTGAACAGCCAGGCAAGAGAGGGATAGGCGGGACTGCCAGTCAGAGAGGAAAGATAGGAGAAAAGGAGACGATAAAGAGGGAGGAGCCAGAAAAGGAGGAGAGGAGGATGCCAGGGGCCAGCCACCCAGCCAGTCACAGAGTAAGAAGGAAAGAAAGATACACAGAAATGTGGAAAGGAAAAGCCCAAAGGCAAACGGTAGATGGGATAACTTAAGTCAAGGAAAGCTGTTTGGAAACAAGCCAAGCTAAGGCCGGGCATTCATAAATAAGCATAAGTCTCTGTGTGTTTATTTGGGGGCTGGGTGGTGGGCCCCCAAGGAGTAAAAAACAAAAACTACATTCCTCCACCCACATCATGACCACCGGGGTCAGGTGAGGTCCTTCCGCATTCTGTGATGGACTTTTAAACGGCACTCAAGGTCAGGCAGGGTAGTCTTTCTTATACTCTGAAATAGGGAAGGCTCCACTGAAGTAATATTCTTTCCTGTTGCCATGACAAAAGAAACTTAAGAAAAGAACAGTTTACTTTGGGTCACAGGCCAAGGATTCAGTCCATGCTGGCAGGGAAGGCATTGTGACAGGAGAGGGAAGCAGCTGGTGATTTTGGGTCCACAGTTGCAACAGAGAGGAATTGAATAGTGATGATCAGCTCACATTCCCTTTGTTTGTTTGTTTGGTTTTTCGAGACAGGGTTTCCCTGTGTAGATTTGGAGGCTGTCCTGGAACTAGCTCTTGCAGACCAGGCTGGCCTCGAATTCACAGAGATCCGCCTGCCTCTGCCTCCCAAGTGCTGGGATTAAAGGCATGTGCCACCACTGCCCGGCTCACATTCGCTTTTTTACTAATCTGGAACCCAGCGCACAGATAGGTGCCATCCACAGTGAGGGTGGGTCTCCTCACCTCACTTAACATCACCTAGAAACTCACAGACACGTCCATGGTTTGCCTCCCGCTTGGTTCCAAATCCTGTCAGGTGGGCAATTGATGTTAACCATGACACCCCCACCAGGGCATTTTCCTAAACAGCTATAAACAGTGGGTTTTCTTATTCTCCAAAAGACTTTTATTTAAAATCCATGGGGATTTTGTCATACAATCTTAAGGGCAGATTGAGTACTGTGCATAATGGAAGACACAACACCAAAACCTATGTCATCCCAAAATCAAAGTGGCCCTTATTAAAAATTAAAAAATTAAGGCAGAATGTATTCCCATCTCTTTCTATCTACTGTTTGTCTCTCTGTCCATCCATCCATCTACCCATCAACTTTTGTCATCTATATATCCATCCACCCATCCATCCACCCATCCACCCATCCATCCATCCATCCATCCATCCACCCACCCATCCACCCATCCATCCATCCATCCATCCATCCATCCATCCACCCACCCACCCATCCATCATCCATCCATCCATCCATCCATCCATCCATCATTTTGTGGTGCTAGAAATTGAATCCAATATTTATGTTTGGAAGACACGTACTCTATTTACACCAAGTTGTACCGCCAGGATCATTTATTTACATCTAAATGTGTGGATATTTTTATGGCACGCATTTCTCACCCTGTAAGTGTACATTTAAATTTACTTAGAAACTGTATGACAATATCCTGATACCCTATGACTTGGCAAATAGCTCATGAGATGACAAAGCCATTAATGCCCTCTATGTGCCTGGTTGAGGCTAGACAGCCTGTGTTTGTGGGAGAGTTGGCTCCATATTCAATACACTCCTAGCTTGAGCTTCATTTAAGTCAAATCAATACCAAGTCACACCGAATGGAAACACCAAGTACAATGGATCAAGTTCACCACCGAATGCATCTAGGATATATTAAAAACTTATGGAAACTATGATGTGTCAGTCTCATCTCCAGGGTAATCTCGATTTTGTTCATGTTCAGGCAACGATGAGGAGTTAGGACACTCAGGGTACAGCGCTACGGAGGAGGAAACGGCAGATGAAGAGACAACAAGTGCTTTGGCTGTGGTGACCACAGAAGCATTAACCACAGACACAAATTCTACATACACTACGGAGTCCCCAAGCCCAATGGAGTTTGTGGTGATGGTCGTGGTTCCACTGGCTGTGCTTGTCATCCTTTTGTCCGGGGTTCTCCTTGCAATTTACCTGAAAAGCAAGAGGCTCAAGCAAGGTAGGTAACTCATGTGTTCCTGTCTTCAGACAAGTACGTTACCCCTTAGCGAGCTGCCAGAAACAAAATGTGTGTTTCTTTTATGCAGAGCCTTCTAGCCAAGGATCTCAAAGTGTCTTGCAGACATGTGAGTATCTGCTTGGTGTGGGGGGTAAAGTAGTAACTGATGAGTGATAAATCTCACTGAAGTTTTCAAGAAGTTAATAATGCTGTATTCTGTATTGCTTTTTTTTTTATGTTTTCCATCTACATTGAAATTACAATCTACTGCTGTTCTTGGAGCATGTTTACGACCAGGGTGTTGGAGAACCTTGGCCACTAGAACAATTTGACATTTCACTTTATGGGAGGAAAGGGCCAGGCAGGTGAGGTGTGAGTCAGATTGGGGTTAAGGATAAAGGGTTGAAGAGTTCATCACTCTCCCATGAAAAGGGGTCTTCGGCCCACATTTCTGTAGTGGGCATGACTTTCCCCAGCCCATACCCCAGTTTGACCTTGAAAAGGGCAGAAAGAAACATTCGTCTTGTTACCACTGAGGCTCCACGTCTATATGGAAATTGTCAACTGACTGAAGATGACTACTGAAACCAAGATAGGAAACGCCCCATCACAGGTGTGACGCCCTGTCACAGGTGCGCTCTTCAAGTGTAGCGAAGAGTGCTAGGAACACTAGAATTCAGGGGCGCTCGCTCTGGGTCCTAAGCTAGTAAGCTGTGACTGGCTTCAGTGTTTGTTTTAAATTACACTTGTGTGCTGTTTGTTCTAAATTATACTTGTGTGCGCATGCGTGCACATGTGCATGCGTGCATGTGTGCATGCGTGTGTGTGTGTGTGTGTGTGTGTGTGTGTGTGTGCAAGCATGCACGCACTTTGGTGCACGTGTGGAAGTCAGAGGACAGCTTGCAGGAATTGGTTCTCTCCTTCCACCAAGTGGCTCTTAGGGATCAAACTCGGGTTGCCAGGCTTGGCAGCTGGCATCTTCATCTGCTGAGCCAGCTCACTGACCCAGGCTTCAGTTTTTAAACCGAACCCTTTAAAAGTCATTTCAAACTTCACTTAAGGGATAGGGGCTTCTCAAGTAAGACGCATGGTCAGGCTCACATAGAAAACGCATTCTGCGTCCTCCAGACTTTCTGACAGGGCACCTTGATTTCCTTGCTCTCCGTCCTACACCAGGACAGCCATGAAGCTCCTGGCAGGTGCTGTACTGACTATACAGCCAAGAGGGGAGGCAAATGAGCTGGGGAGGGAGTACTGCCCTCTTCTCTCACAGAAGGAACTGGTAAGACAGACAGAGGAGGAAGGGGAAACCCAACGCTCATCGCTTGAGGTTTCAGAGTAGCCTAGCAACAGTGGTCTCCTGGGAGCTCCTCTATAGTCAAAGCAAGACCCAGTGTTGCTGCCCGATGCACCCCCCCCCCCACTTCCTTGTTGCCCAGGCTGGGCTCCGGGCTACAGGCATGTAACACTGCACCTGGCTCTCTCTTTTCCTCCTTTTTTTTAACCTCAGAGGAAGTGGGAGTTCCCTGTGAACCCTCAATCCCCAGGGGAGTGCAGGGTGGGGCGTGGGAACTCCAGTCTCACTGAAGCTCTTAGGCTTCGGAGCTCTCTTCCAGCTCTGGTGTTCAAGTCTTTCAGTTCACAGGTATTTGCATGTGAGGAGCAGCCCGGCCCACTGTGGGCCCCAGCCTCCTCCAAGCATCCCACACCGATCCAGAGCCTGACCTGACTTCCGGGGTGTCAGAGGCCTGGTGAATACACCACTCCTTTTGTCTGGACGGTCTTCATGTCTGCTTGGCAAACTGCCGCCTCTCCTGTCGATGCCCGGTTCTTAGGTTTTATGAAGTTTGAGCAATCCCTCCTTGGGCAGGACTCATCTCCGCCTCCTTCGTGCTGTCTCAGCGTCCCAACTTGGAGTCTGTTTTCTGTTCTGTTTTGATTTGGTCTGTCACCAAGAACTTGCATTCACCTCTTGTTTGACAGACACCATGGCATCGACATGAGAGACAGTGGACACCCTCTGCTTGGCTCCCTAGCTCTGTGGATTCTCTGAATTGGCTTCCTCGCCTGTAAAGTTGGTTAATTCAACACCCACCTTCCAGAGTTGTGAGAATTAGGTGAAGTTATGTCATTTAAGAATGCCTAGATTACTAAATGCTAACTATCTACTTACTAAAGGCATTTTTATACGTATGTGTATAGGTCTGTGTGAGTTTATGTGTATCAGGTTTATACAGGTGCCTCAGAAGCCAAAAGAGGCCATCAAATCCCCTGGAATTGGAGTTACAGACTGTTGTGAGCCATCTCGTGGGTGCCGAATACCTATCTTCTGCAAGAGCAATAAATGCTCTTAACTGCTGAGCCATCCTTCCAGCCCTGTTGTATGTTTGCTGCTTGATACATACTGACAAATGAATGAATGAATGAATGAATGAATAAAGGTCAAGAGCCTCTTTAAGAAAACTTTATACTCTTAAGAGGTAAAAAGAAAATTGCAAACATGCATGATGAGGCAAGCCTGTCATCCCAGCATTCAGGAACTGAGGCAGGAGGATGTTGAGTTCCAAGGTAGTCTGGACCTTACAAAAACAAGACTCTGTCCCAACAACAAAGTACAGATTTGCCCATTATCCCTACGTACACATCGACATGTTGTCTTTAGTTTAAATATGCTTCACTTTAAGAAAACATAACACAGAAAACTGCAAATTCTGAAACAATAGATTTCAGAAAAGTTTTTACACATGCATATGAATGTGTGTGTACATGTTCATGTATGTGCTCCACATGCATGCAGGAGGACGTGTGGGGGGGTCGGAGGACAAGCTGGAGGGTCTGCCTCAGAAGCACCGCCCAGCTCCTTTAAGACAATGTCCTGCACTGGCTAACAGGGTTAGTCTGGCTGGCCAGCAGACCCCTGGGATCCTTTTGACTCCACCTCCCAGGGCTGGGATTGCAAACTTGGACCCCAATGCTCAGAACTTTGCCCCACGTCCTGGGGATTGAACTCAAGTTCTCATGTTTGTGAGGCAAGTTCCTTCCTGACTTGAGTCTCTCCTCTGCCCCAGAGAAGTTTTTGATAGAGACCTTTATCTGATATTTTTTTACACTAACCACTACTTTTATATAAATACAAATTCCCTTTTCTCAAGCTGAAGGCTGAAAGATTAAATGCTTCTTATGTAGCCTATTCATTTACATTTAGCATAATTTAAGTTCAAAGATTATTTAAATAAATGATAGTCCATGTAAATACTTGAGTATTCAGGAAAAAATAAAACTGTCTCTCGAGTGTGCACTCATGTGCGTGTGCGAGGACACACACACACTAAATGATATTCCATGTAAATACTTGTGTTTTCAGGAAAAAATAAAACTGTCTCTCGAGTGTGCACTCGCGTACATGTCTGCATGTGCGTGCGCGTGCGCACGCTCGCGCGCGCGCACACACACACACACACACACACACACACACACACACACACGGTGGCCAGATGACAGTTGGGTAGGGCTGTTGCTGTCACAGTGTCGGTCGTCCAGTCTTTGTAGTTCAGGTGACAGACTTCTTCTGTTTCCTCAGCCTGGTGTGTCCGGTGACTTCTCAGGCCCGGTTTTCCTGATGTAGCTTAACAGACCCGATTGTAGCTACGGTCTCAACTTACTTTGATAAACGTATACAGTGGCACGCTTTCTACTCTTAGTAAGTTATTTATGACTATGTGCCTTGTGGGTAGTTCTGGACAGGTGGTGTCATTCCCAGGGCAACCCAGGTCCACAGTCATCCTCTATGTCAAACAGAAGGCAAATTCTACTTGTAAAGGCAGTCTGGGAAAAAAAATCCTCACTGTTTTAGACAATCTAGCGTAAGCTAGGGTGGGCACACCTTCCTCACACTGTCATGATGTGCTGGGTGTCTCTCAAAGAACCACTGCAAAGCATGGGCAGGAAGTCTTCGGCTCTGCTCAGTGAGGAAACCAGGTGGCCAGAGACCTCTGTAGCCCCTCCCCTCAGCCACTGTGCCAACAATCCCACCGTCCGAGGCACAGAAAGAAGAGGAGCTGGAGAGGGTCTCTTCAAGATGTGTGGTTGTAAAGGAGAAAGGCGTGGGGCCTGGGGTGGGCGGGGGGCGGGTTGGGGTTAAGACTGTGACGTGTCAGGATGGAAAGGGACAAATGGAACCCAGTGGGGGTGGGCGCCCCGAGTCGGTGACAGTTAATAAAGAGATGTAGGCCATGTGGAGTGGAGCAGGCCGGATCTGATTGCTGAGGACAAGTAATTGGTCTCCTCCCTGGCTTAATGCTCTGCTCTCGTACTCTCTCCCAGATGTGTTTCTGTTGCCATGGTGGCTGGGGCAGAGGTAATGGCCCTGGAGCGGGGAAGATGAGGCCACAGAAGGCTTTTTGCTCTTTTAATACTGATTACAGAGCCTCTCATTTGGTGTATCTGGAGCACTTTGGTAATGGACTTTTAAACTTTTCCATCATCTGCATGTGGGTCACCTCCTGCTCACCTCCAAGCCTGTGGGGAGCCCAGATGAGGGAAAGAAATCTGTGCTTGCAGTGGGCTGTGGAGTCCCTTGTGCTCTGAGAAATTAGTGGGGAAGTTAGTAAGCAGGGAAAGGGGGCTTGGCCAGAAGTGGAGGGTGGGCAGGGGGTTCTCTACAGGGGTCAGCCCCCAAGCACTGCAGAAACCAGGGGTGGTGGTGCGTGTTTATAAAGCCTGTGCAAGAGGATCAGAAGTTCAAGGCCACCCTCAACTATATAGCAAAGTTTGAGGCCAGCTTGGACTACGTGAAACCACCTCTCAAACAACGACAACAAAAGTGTAGGCACAAAGTCTAAGATGAAACTATCCTACCCTCACCTAAGTTTCGGAGAGTCAAGCATCACAGGAGGCTTCAGATTGTGTTCAGTGTGTGTGGCGGGGAGGGGCGGGGGGAGGGGGAGGGGAGACAGTGCCTTCAAGGCAAGCAGTGCAGTGATGGCATGGAACCTGCATCTTACCAGCTCTCCCAGATTGGCCACGCCACTAGAGCTTGCCAACCAGCCGGACATAGCAGCTTGTGCCGCCCTGAGCTCAGTTCCTGGTGCCTGCTGGCTGTATTTCCTCACTGATGTCTGTACTTCAGCAGGCTAGACACCAGGTGGCCTCTGATTGTCAGGGGTCAGGAGTAGCTGACTATCTCGGGATCTCCACAAAGGTTGGCTTTCCAAAGCATCTGTCTCCTTCGCCGCGCTATCACTGATTCCCCTCTCAGGGGGTGTTGGTCTCCCTGGCAAACTAAACAGAGTTTGCTTGGGCCAAGCAGCAGGCTGTGATTCTTGCCACCTGTTCATCTGGAGTCAAATGGCACCTGACTCTCACCCCAATCAGCAGCCATCAAAGGCAAGCCGGTTGGAAGTCCCACTGTTGTAATAATGGCAGGTCCAAAAGATCGGATGCGAATTTAACTCCATTGCTAGACAACTGAGATTCATCTGTCTAGTGAATATTTCCTAGGCATTTGCTAGGGACCGTGCTAATGGGATGGGGGCTGGGGCATGCCACAGTGAACAAGGCAGATGCTGTCCTGGCCCTTTGGGAGTTCCGCTCTAGTGGGAGAGACAGATGAAACAGACTCAAGCAGATGGTCTAACAGGTGAGCAACTGGCCAGGACTGAAGGAAGCAAGGGAGATGCAGAGCCAGGGACCAATGGGACAGATGGACCTTCCCGAAATAGAGGCGGGGATGACTGACCGAGAAGTGGGGGATCCAGCCATTCCAATAGCAGGGCAAAGGGGACTCTCAGAGGCACCCCTTGATGGAGTCACCCATACGACATAGTGTTCAGAATGGCGTGTCATAAGGAAATGATGCTGGAACATTATTTTATTGAAGGAATCAAGAATCAACCCCTTGGTTTTGTTAACACTTCCTTCTTTCCTGACCATGCTTTTCTTCTTCATGTGGATAAAAATAATAATAAGGAGGGTGAGCACTCTCAGGGAGCACCCATCTCTACAGAAAGCAGAGTCTGTGGGTCTATGGGGATTCAGACCTGGTTTCTCCGTAGCTGTCTGCACTGTGTGACTTGGAGGCTAATGCCTGCTACTTTAGAAATGGAATTCACGACCTTGAGGTGCCTCAGCGGATAAAGGTCTTGCATTTGATCTCTGGAACTCACGTGGTAGAAGGAGAGAACCAATTTCCACAAGCTGTCCCCTTATCTTCACTTCAGTGCTATGGGTCCCCATGCGCAGAGCAAATACAGGAAAAACAAGGTTTTTAAAACATGATTCATTTGCCTCTATTTCCTTCCCATTGTGAAGCAGACTTAGGGTTGTTGCCACAAAACCCTGCAGGTGTTCAGAGCTGACATGACTCCTGTACTTGGTCTCTTTCAGATGAACCTGTCGGTGAAAACCTGAAAGTGTGAGTCAGTCCTCCCTGTCCTCCCTGCCAGTCCCCAGACCTCCTGCTGTCCTCCCTGCCAGTCCCCAGGCCCCCTGCTGCTTAGACCAGAATAGTCGGGGGAAGAGATGACAGAGCCATTCGCCTTTCCCCAGCTTCTGTTATGACAATCTGGGTGGTGACAATCTCTTGTGGATAATACCCCTGGACTCTGACAGCCTCTGTTGTCACAAGGACAATGTGTCTTAGTCTCCAAACCTTGCCCAGTGGTCTCTGCTGTTGTCACCTGCCAGAAAAGAATTTTCATCAGGCTGTTACCGGTGCCAGATGCACAGTAGTTAGATAGTCTGGCCTGGGGCTGGGGGGGAATCCAAAGACACGGAGTGATGCCTCTCCTGCCCCTCCCATCAGCTTCCCTCGAGTAGACACTACCTACTTCATCTCCCAGTGCAACGCCCACAGCGTGTTCAGAGCTGGGGTCTTCCCTCCCACCGCCATCCACCCTGATCCTGCCCATGCCTGGGAGATAGGGCCAGGGCATTTCTGAGAGCTGCAGCTCCATCCCTCCTAGTTAGAAAAGCCTGGGCATTGAGAGAGACCAGATAAAGCAGCCTGATGACTGGCCTCTTGATCTGGGTCATTGATCAAGATTCCAAGAAAAGAGAAGTGATGTTAGGCAGGGCCAGGAAGCTAAATGAGGTGGCCACTGAGCACCCTGGCAACCGTGTCTTTGGTCTCCAGGGAGCAGCTTCTCTTCTAGTCAACTCCCAGCCACTGTGCCACCCAGTTTGGCCTTTGTGACGGATGAGGGTTTCTTGCAGATTTTGTCTTTCTTCCTGTTAGAGCTTGATCTCCTTTGATCAGGGCAAATCCGGGGCTGGACTGGGACGTCAGACACTGAATCAGGTTGTTCCTAACTAGACAGTGTTCAGCCTACAGGGCTGGTTCTTTTTTAAAACCCGTGTTTCTGCTCTCTGTCTAGCCCTATTTTTGAAGAGGACACACCCTCTGTTATGGAAATAGAGATGGAAGAGCTTGATAAATGGATGAGCAGCATGAATAGAAACGGTAGGTGGGAACCCAGTGTCTGCTTGCCTCTCTGGCAATGGAAGGCCAGAAGGCTGCCTCAGCCCCACCAATAACTCAGTAAATCTGAAGTCATACTCCATCCGGCACAGGGTCTGAATGGCCTTAAACGCCCGGTCTAATCATCATCATTGTATCTGTTACCTCTTGTTTTTTATTTGTGTACAAGTTAAAATGGGACTTTTCAAAAGGAGATGGTGCTGTTACTTGTTTCTTTCTGAGTGTGTGTGTGTGTGTGTGTGTACATGCGGTGTGTGTGTGTGTTCAAGCTTGTGTGTGTGCATGTGTGGGGATGTATTCATGTGTGTGTGTGTGTGCGTGTGTGTGTGCATGTCTGTGTGTGTGTATTCACGCTTGTGTGTGTGTGTGTTGGCTTGGTTTGGTTTGGTTTTGTGTGTGTGCATGGTTCTGGGAATGAAACCCACTCTATCACATGCTAGGCATGTGCTTTACCACTAAGCTGCATCCCCAGCCTTCATCATTCTCTTTAGGGAAGGAAATCTGATACCAAATTATCTAGGGGAGGAAATCTGACATGACTTTATATTTCTTTGAATTTAGAGAATTTCAATCTGTGTGTGGTTATACGTGAGTCACTCCAGTACAAAAAGGTTAGAACCGTGTGCCTATTTAATCATGTAAAAACCAGAGCATAATTTTAGTAGCTGAATAGTAACTATTGGTGACCAGTGGGTATTGTATTTGACAATAAGACCGTAGAACATCTCTATGTCGGTAGATAGTTCTATCAGGCAGGACTACTGTAGACAGTAATAGGATATTCCCACACAGCAATTTTCAAGTCTTTAAAATGGTAACAGGTGTGTGTTCTTTAAAAACCAGTAAATTTTTCTTAATGTTCATATGAAATTGATAAAAATCCACTATGTTATCATGCTATTTGCATCCGTATGTATTACATTTGTGGTGTATGCAGGTGTTGTGGTGTGTGTGTGTGTGTGTGTCTGTGTGTGAGTGTGTATGTATGTGTGTGTGAGTGTGTGTATGTATATGTGTATGTGTGTGTATGTATATGTGTGTATGTATGTGTGTGTGAGTGTGTATGTATGTGTATGTGTGTCTGTGTGCATGTGTGTGAGTGTGTGTGAGTGTGTGTGTGTGTACGTGTGTGTAGATGAAAACATCTGGTGCTGCCCTCTAGAACCATTCATATTCCATTGAGAATTATTCACTGAACCTAAAACTTGTTGATTTATAGTTAAACAGGCGGGGCAGCAAGATGTCTCTGCCCATGTGTTCCCCCTGCATATACGCATGCACCTAAACACACATGCACACACATGCACACGCATGCACACACACACAGAGTCTGAGAGTGAACTTATGGGCATGGACAACCACGCTGAGATTTTTACATGGGTGCTGGGGAACTGAAGTCAAGTACTTAAACACTTGTGCACTAAGTAAACATTTTGCTCACTGGATGATCTCTCCAGTTCAATCAGTTGCATTTTAGAGCAGATATATTTAGTTAGCTACTAGCTTATTTATGTGTGTGTATGGTCACATTTGTGTGCAAGTAGGAGCATTTTGCACACGCATGATAGTCAGAGAGGGTGTTGTGTATTTATTGAGAGACCCTGTCTCAAAAAAATAAGGTGAAGAGTCATAGATGAGGACCCCCAGTGCCAAACTCTGGCTTTCACATGGACATACATGGATATGCATATGACATACCACGTGTGTGTGCGCGTGTGTGTATGTGCATGTGTGTGTGTGTGTGTGAGAGAGAGAGAGAGAGAGAGAGAGGAGAGAGAGAGAGACGAGAAAGACGCTCTCTGGGAGACGGTGGTTACTCCCCACTCACTCCCCACCTTCCTGATGCTTCCGCTGTAAGGTTGCCCTGCAGACACTGCAGGACCTGAGACACAGCCATTTTATTCCCCTGTCTAGCTTCCAAGAGGCATACTCTGGCTTTCAGAACACAGTGGGTTTCAGGGGACTAACTAAGCCAGCGATGATGAATTGTGCCCTTTTCATCAGGGACACGGGACATTGCAGCCTTGTGTCTGTGTGATTCGGGCACTTACCGTTTCAAGAGCCTCTGCTTCATTAATCTTTGGAGCTCTAGAAGTCCCTAGTGGGGCTGTTTCCTCGCTGGTAGTCGCACAGAGGGTACAGTCCATGCCCGGCTGTGTCAGGTTTTTGGGTAGAAAAGCAATTCTGGTGACTAACAGTGAATTGTCTTTCTTCTGTCTTAGCCGACTATGAGTGTTTACCTACTTTGAAGGAAGAGAAGGAGCCAAACCTCAGCCCGAGGTACGTCAGGGGTCATGGAGGGTAGAAGAGGGTCACAGTCACAGCACAGCACTCTGCCTGCCTTTCCTGTGCCTGGCAATTTAATGTGTCAGCCTACACGGAGGGATGCGTTGGTCAAGAAGCATGTTTTGGAAAATACAAAATCTCCCAGTAGCTCTTTATCCTTAGATATAAATTAGTGTCGATATGCCCTTGATATTTCAAGGAGACATTGTTGAGTTGGTTTCCGTTTTAGTCCTAAAAATTGCTGATTATTGCTAATTGAATAGTGAGGTTATTTGACTCGGATAGATAGATGTTTGGTAAGGAAACAGGTGGAGAGGACAGTCCCAAAGGAGGTGGCTTTCAGTAATCTTGATTAGGAGGAACATTTTAAAGAGCAAGCCAACAAACAAAGAACCCTAACCCACCTGGTCTGGACTCATCAGAGAGAAATTAAATGGAAATTAAAAGTATATTCCATTCTGCCACTAGGTGGCTCTGCTTGATAGAAAATTTTAGTGCCTTGGGGCCAGGTGTAATTTATTAGCCCTGGATGGTATCATTTAAATGATATTATCTTTGTGAGGAGGGAAATGAGTGAGTTTGGGGAATTGGTGATTAGAAAAGTGTTTGCTCAGTTGTGGAAAAAACTAGAAGGAATTAAGAGGGTACTTGCTCTTCAGAGCATGACTATGGTTTGGGGCGGGGGGAGTTGTCACCAAGTTTTCTGTTGAGGTAACACAAAGATGACCAGACAGCAGAGACATTGGACTGTGATGGTAATGAAACACTTGTGTTAGAACACACAGAATGGAGCTTGAGAGCGTGGTGAGTACCCATGAACACACGAGTTATCCATTCACTTGTCTTAGATGCTTCCAGAATGCAGTCACTGAGGACAGCACTGCAAGTAAAGATGTAATTAGATTTTCCGCTGGGGTCCTTGTCTCTGCATCTATACCTCTAGAATCTTGGTACGTCACCTAAATGTTCATCACCCTTCCTCTCCCTCCGTCATGGACTACCACAGTCCTACCAAGGCCGGCCTCAGCTCTGACCCCAAGGCGACTCTTAGAGATTGAGTCCATGTTACCTCCAGGGGTATTTGTATGTTCCAATTCATCTCTACTTTAGAAAATACTCTATCTCACTTAAATGATATTCCAGATGGTAACAAGAAGGCAAAAGAAAAACAATGTCATGGTTATATGACAAGGAACATGACAGAGAAATCTTTTCCACATATCTTAATCTTCCCCTCATAACAAGATGGCACATAGGTCAGTACAGATCACCCTCAAACTCTGTTAACATTATTGCTGCCCCCTCTGTGTTGAGGAATGTCGGTAGTTTTATACACCTGAATCTCACTCTGCAATCACTGGCATTGCTGAAGAAACCCACCCTTGCAGAAATGTATGGTAATGAAATTTATTAAAAATCTCATTTTTTAAATATAGAGAGGTTGGTTTCAATTTTTTTTTAAAAAAAGAGCCCATATCTGTTTGGAGAGTTGTTCTATGTGAGCTGATCATTTTGCAAGTGAGTCTCTGAACTCCTCTGTGGGCCTGGAACCATCTGGCTTTGATTCACAGGACATCTGCCAGGGCTTCACCCCATTCCCTGTCTGGGAAGCCAGCACCCGAGTTCTAGACTGGCCAGTCTCAGCTCTTGACCACACCCTTTCTAGTGACTGCCACAGACGTATGACATTGAAAACCCAATGAACTTACGGGACTGTCATGTGGCCTTTACTTTCATTCATACACAGCCCAGCTCATCGGCAACACCTCCCCACAGGTGACACATTTGTTACAGTCAGTTGATATGTCATCACCAAGTAGCTGCTGGCATTACCCCTGAGACATCCGCCCTCATCAGTGACCTTAATGCTTCAGAAGCAGGGAGCAGCAAACATGGAGTGAATTTCATGGACGCCTCACTGTCCGTCCTCCTGGTAAACGGAGATTTCTGGAATCCATGTGCAGTGCCAGTCCTCTTTGGATGTCAGATGTCCCTGAGGTTCTGAGAAAGGGTGACTCTGTCAGAGTCCATCCCAGTCCCTGATTTTCACTTCCCTGTTGTCATTGCACTTTTCTGTATGGCGTGTGTGTGTGTGTGTGTGTGTGTATGTGTGTGCACCAGACTATATCTCCACAGCAGGCATGATCTGTGTGTGTGTGTGTGTGTGTGTGTGTGTGCACCAGACTATATATCCACAGCAGGCATGATCTGTGTGTGTGTGTGTGTGTGTGTGTACACCAGACTGTATCTCCACAGCAGGCATGATCTGTGTGTGTGTGTGTGTGTGTGTGTGTGTGTGTACACCAGACTGTATCTCCACAGCAGGCATGATCTGTGTGTGTGTGTGTGTATGTACACCAGACTATATCTCCACAGCAGGCATGATCTGTGTGTGTGTGTGTGTGTACTAGACTATATCTCCACAGCAGGCATGATCTGTGTGTGTGTGTGTACACCAGACTGTATCTCCACAGCAGGCATGATCTGTGTGTGTGTGTGTGTGTGTGTGTGTACACCAGACTGTATCTCCACAGCAGGCATGATCTGTGTGTGTGTGTGTGTATGTACACCAGACTATATCTCCACAGCAGGCATGATCTGTGTGTGTGTGTGTGTGTGTGTGTGTGTGTGTGTACTAGACTATATCTCCACAGCAGGCATGATCTGTGTGTGTGTGTGTGTGTGTGTGTGTGTGTACTAGACTATATCTCCACAGCAGGCATGATCTGTGTGTGTGTGTGTGTGTGTACACCAGACTATATATCCACAGCAGGCATGATCTGTGTGTGTGTGTGTGTGTGTACACCAGACTGTATCTCCACAGCAGGCATGATCTGTGTGTGTGTGTGTGTACACCAGACTATATATCCACAGTAGGCATGATCTGTGTGTGTGTGTGTGTGTGTGTGTGTGTGTGTGTGTGTGTGCGCGTGTATACACCAGACTGTATCTCCACAGCAGGCACCATCCCTGTTCTTGGGCTGATTCTGAGCCTCATCTCTGTAACTCCACCCAGACCCAGCTCTGTCGGGAAGCGACTTTGTATTGATGAGAAGGGAGCTTGATCTAACTGTTACGTGACTCCGTGCCAAACTGAACTCTATACTCTCTGAAGCTGAGTCAGAGCACCGTGACCTTCCACGGGCTCAGCGATGGCATATTGCTATCTTCAGAGATGGCTGCATTAGCTGTGGCCATAACTCAGCTGGATAGATGGGTCTGGAGGACAAACAGAGTCACAGCTATGAGGTGAGGTATTTGAGCTGGAGCTGCTCCCATTCTGCTGGCGGCCTGCCAATCAAGTGCCTACTTGGAGATTGTTATAAAGTTTGTCCTTCCGTCCCTGTGTGTGCTGTGGAAAGGTGTTCCATGTTCTTCACGTGCTTATGTGACACTCCCAGACAAATTGCTCACTACTGCCACTGTCAGAAATGAGCTGCTAAAGCTGCACGTGTGCACATCGTGGCAAGCAGGGAAGGCTCAATGCGGAGCCACTATTGTGTTCGTTGCAGCCGGTGGCAGTTCGCCAAGGTATTTTTAACAGGGAACTCCAGGGTTTGCTAGAGTTAAAAATGCATGGCTTATTTGATCATTTCCCAGAGATGATGAATAACCAGAGGCAGCCTCGAGCGCCTTGAACTAAATAAAAGAATGAGCCTGTGACGGGGGATGCCCTGGATCACTGTACTGGGGCTGTGGGAGCTGTGGGGGGAGGGCGCTGACTCACTCACTGGCCTGGTGGACATCAAACCACACAAAACACCAGGAGGGCAGCTGCTCCCTGGGAATGGCCTGCTGTCTCATCAAAGCAGAAGCAGCTTGTGTCTATGCTGGCACCTTGTCGTCCCACGATGAGGGGCCAGAGATCATGAGCACTTTGCTTTGGAGGAATTAAGTAATGGCACTGCTAAACAAAAATGCCTCTCCTTAGAAATGTAAAGCGTGCTTCTGCAGATGTTTCCTTAAAGCCTTTGAGTCTTAGTGGCAACATTCCAGACAACTAGCAAACAGTCGCCGGTGCTGTCTGTGGAATAAGCACTGCCGACAGGCGTGTGTCTAAGCACCAGGCCTGTAACAGGGGCTTCTACCTGTGTTTCTCTCTTGTGCTTTATCTCTGAGCTACACCTCAACCCCTTGTTTATTCTTTGCAACAACCCTGTAAGCTATCTAGTTATTAGGTGTGCTTTGGAGATGAGATCAGACAAGGAAATTGAAGCTAAGAAAGGGTAACTTGCCCATGGTCACACAGTAAGGAAGTAACTGGGCCCTGCTTCAAACTCCAGCCCGGCAGAGTGTTCTTCCTATGCTAAGAATCCACGTTAGTGTACCCCAACATTATAACTGTCATAAAAGCCACCAAAAATAGGAGTTACCCAGCGCTAACACCCACAACACAATGCATGGAATCATCATTTTAAAGGCTCGAATATTTATTTACCAGAATGGGAGAGGTACAGTGGGTAAACGTGCTGGCTTTTTGGGTCCCAGCACACACTGTAAGGAAGCTGAGTGTGAGCCCACCCTTGACTTTAACCCCGCCCCTGTGGGGACAGAGACAGGAGATCTGTGATAGGTTGCTAGCTGACAGCCTGGCTCCACACTCATGGAGATGGCGTCTTAAGAGAGTAAGGCAGGCAATAACAGAACAGGACACCCAACACCCTGTTCCAGCTTCCACACTTTCCCTTGTACCCTTCCCTTTCTCCTGTCTTTGTCTCCTATTTCCAGCCCCTTTGTCCCTCTGGAGCAAACAAACTGTAATCCGCACTCAGGAAACTCACTGGAAGCTTACAGGAGGATGGCTGTCAATTCTAGGATAATCTGGCCTACGGAATAAGACCCTGTTTGAAAAAAAAGCAAAACAAAATAAAAGCCTGGCATAGTGGTACATGTCTGCAGTCCTAACCTTGGGGAGGCAGAGGCAGGGAGATCACACAAGTCTACAGAGTGTGTCGGAGCAGCCTGGCCTACTGTTGTGTGTGACTATTCCTAGGATGTGTGACCAGCATCCACCTGCTCCAGATAGGGAACTGATGACAGATCACAGTAAGGATACCACAAAAGCCCAAACTGGTGAACCAGGGAGTTTTATTAGAGTTATTTATGGGAGCAGAGATGACTCAAGGACAAGCTGCGTCTCCAAAGCCCACCCCAGCATGGGTGACAGCTCACAAAGCTGGGAACCTGGAGCACGGTGCGCATGGTCTGAGGTCTTTCAGTGTGTTTTCTGCTTTTACATGCTGGAGGAGGGAGGGGCCTAGTGAGTCTGCTCAGTTTGGGGGACTTCCTGAAGCCTTTGTTAAGTTTCAGTCTTGATAAGCTTCCCTGCAGGACGGAATGTTTCGCCTCCCTTTAGAACAGCCTGCGGTCTCCCCTCCCCTTTAACATCGTGGGCCTTAACTGGCTTTCCCCCAAGACGGACAGCTGTAATCTCAGAAGAAACTGCTACACAACAGCCGCAGAGTGAGGCCCCCACCTCAAACAAAGCAAAACAAAACACCAGAACCGAAATTAAAAACTGGAGATGTTTTGCAGTGTAGATACTGAGTCAAATTATTCTTACTACCGGAACTAAAAAAAAAGATAATTAAATCTGAGCAAAGTTTATCAATAAAGTAACTTAGCTAAAGACAACATTGAAATTACCAATCAATGTTTGGAAAAAGTATATTCTTTTTAGTAATAAAAAAGTAAACGAAAGCATAGATAAAGAAAATATAATAGCTTTCTCACCTAGAAGGACCATTTAATAATGGGCCTGAAAGCATCCAAAATTCCTCTTGTAGAGACTTATGCAAAGGGAATGATTGAAAGTGTTTGTAAAAGTTAAAAATTAGAAGTCGCCTAAAGAGTTAATTATCATAAATATTGTTTAGACATAGGTTTTATTGTTGTTTTGTCTTCTTCTAGTTGTCCTTCCTTCCTTCCTTCCTTCCTTCCTTCCTTCCTTCCTTCCTTCCTTCAGTACTGGGGATTGAATTCAAGGATTCAGCATATACTAGCCAAACACCCTACTGTTGTATCACATTCCTAAGCCTCATTTTAAAAACACCCAATGGGTTAATAGGTCACTATGTAGCTACTAAAAAGGGAGGGGGAAGCGAGGGAGTTCTAACCTGTGGGTTGCAGTGCTGGGATTGAACCCAGCATTGAACCTTATATGTGCTAGGAAGAGCTCTACCCCCTGAGCCATATCCCACTCTGTGTGACCAGGAGTGGAAAAAATAGAGTACAGAACAATGTGCATATTAAGGTCCTATTTTTGAACAAAGGAGAAAATACATTTAAAACAGAAAAATACTTGCAAGAGTAAGTGCCAAATAATTAGCTATAGTGAAGGTACTGGTGTTTTTATTCTATGCTTGGGGCAGGGACAGGCTTGCTATAGATGGAACCCAGGACCTCGCACATGGTAGCCAAACATTCTCCCACTGAGCTACATCCCCAGCCCTGTATTTTCCAACTTAAAAAAATGAACATGGACTGGTTTTACAATGATTTTGAAAACTATTTCTGTTAGAACCATCGGACAGAGCTCAGTGTTGCAGACGAAAGAGGGGTTTGCTAGCTAAGCCATAACAGGAAACCATTGTATGTGTATGTGTATGGACTTCTATTCCACAGAGATGGTCTTCTGGACTTAGCAATACTGTCTTGTTACTACCTTGTTTCCGAGAAATGGAGCCTTCACTCACTCACCTGGAGTTTCTCAGAGTGACATAATTAGAGGATTGTTGTACCTAACTCTTAGAGAATATTCCCTCTCTAGTGTGTAGTGGGTGTTGATGACCAAACCCAGGGTCTGGACAGTACATGTGGTAAGCAAGCTTTCCGTCACTGAATTACACCCCAGAGGGGAAAATTCCAGTCATTGTCCACATGTGAGAAGTTTTGTCATAGAGGCCTTTCCTTTGCTTATTCCCTGCAGCAGCGCATCAGTCACAATTCTGCCTTCCTCTCCCTCTTCTATGCTTCCCTGGCTCCCACGGCTCACACACACACACACACACACACACACACACACACACACACACACACACACACGGTGAGGGGGTCCTCTCCCCAGTCAATGACACATTGATATCTATTGGCTGATCTATCAACTACTGTGTTTGTTTCTCTGAGACAGTTTTCACTGTTTCCTGGGCTGTAGCTGCTGCTACTACAGGTGTACGCCCTAGCTAATGCCCGGTGCACTACTGAGCATCTGTGGGATGAGTCGGAAGACCGCAGTGGACTGCACACACCCAAGGGCCAAGGAGAGAGCACAGCTGCTCACTGTGGTCATTCATGCCCTCCCCTGGAGACACAGCTGCGTGACAATAGAGATGTGCTAGAATGTGAGTAGAGGGGACACCAAAACCAGAGGAGAAGCAGGAAGCAGGAAGCGGGGCTCTACCTGCTCTCGAGGACAGGCAAGTGCAGCCCCTGCCACACAGGGAGAAGGCTGTGAAGTCAGACACTGCGCAAAGATAACCAAACTAGAAACAAACGAATACACATACACAAAAAGCGTGAGTTAGCCAACAGCATGGTGTGTTCAAATATCAGGTCTCTATCTTGGAATTCTACATGGTACAGATAACATGCCCTAACCCCTCTGTGGGCTTGAACAAGATGCACTGTTGAAAACAAGCCAGGACCACAAACTCTTGAGGGAAAACAGCACATGTGTGTTTTGTTTGTTTGTCTGTTTGTTTGTTTTTGAAAAGACATTTGGCATCTACTCATAGGGAATGGGATTAGATTTAATTAAAGGAGAGAACCCCAGCTCCATCTGGTTGTCTGCCCGCCACGGGGGAGGGATTTGCGAGAGCTAGGGATTGTCTCTTGGTGTACATGGATTTTCTCTTCAAGAATGGGATATAAATTCAAGCTGGCCCTTATTTGGGAAATCATAAGCTAGAGAATACTGACTTTCTGATTGTGTAGACTCTTGAGTCACCTCTGCAATAGAGGGATCACCTTTCCCTTGCTTCTTGGAAATGTGCTATCGTTCTGTTCTGTTTCTTTTCCAGTGACAATGAATCCTAACTCTGAGCAGTGTTGACATTCTTCAAGAGTGCACACCCTGAGGGCACCCGCTGGGCCTGCCAAGGGAAGATGAAGAGGAGACAAGTTTAATTAATTTCAAATCGGTGTAGACACAAGAACCTTTTACCGCCACCCTCACTTCAGACGGTGACAACCTGTGGACTTGGAAGAAGGAAGGACGGGAATCCGAGGAAGGGCCTGGCTGCCCTCCATCCAACTCAGGGTGCAGAAGGAGCGCTGTGAGGTGTTCCCTTCTGATCAGTGGGTGTCCCCTCCTTATGGCGTTCTCCTCACTCATTCTGATTACCCTGAAGTCGCCAACACTGGTGTGTGCTTCACCCCTGAGGGTTCAAATCAGGAAGCTGATCTTCTGCCAGGTCACCTCAGTACCTAACAGCTTTGGACAATGTCCTCTAATTATTCATGGCCTCTGACAGGTCAGCTCTATTCATCTGGAACTTCCCTCACGTTCTGTATGTCGCCGAAAAGACAGCAAACAAAGCAAGTGTTTCACATCCGCACCATCCCAGGGAGTTGTGAAGCCTGTTCTTACTGCTAAGAAAGCTCACAGTCCTCATAGGAGATCCTTGAGTGGCTCACAGACTGGTACCCAGCCACATTCAGCCACGTCTCAGCCTCTTTTGAAAACTTGTAGAGGAAATAGCAATCTTTAAAGAGAGAGGCAACGTTTTCCTTCTACGCTAAGGTTACATCTGCCGGCAACATCCCGAAGCTGCCATTCTGGTCTCGACTCATACCACGGGTCTAGCCTGTGCTGTGTGGGCCCAAGGCATGGAGTGCATGCAGGCCGAGATCATCTGTCACCCTTCTGTGTCGTGAGATCTTCAAGGCTGAACAAGATATATCTGGACCCGGGGAAACTAGCTCACGGTGCTCTGCGGTCTCTCCTGCACGCTACAGCCCTTCCTGTAGGGCTGGAAAGAGTCCCCAGTCCTCAATATGACACTCCGGGAGGTGGCTCCCAGGCCGTCAGGGCAGACATTCTACATGAGATTGCTTGCCGTCCATGTGCTAAAAACAATGGGACAAAATACTGAAGGGCACACTAACTTCTCCTCAATCAAGTCAGCCCTGTTTAATCCTTAGCTTTCTAATTCTGACCTTTGGGAGGCCATCTAGCAAATTGAGTCCTCAGCTCTCCTGGGATGCTTAGTATTTCATTCCAGGAAGGAAACAAAGGCTGAAAATTTCATTCTGCTAACCATGTAGAAACCGAGGGGAGATAAAATTAACCGAACTGTTCTGCTGTTGAATTCGGGGTGTGTTTGAAACGCTGCACTCATGCTGCACAGAGCACCTCTGCCTCCTTGGGGCCCCTTTACCCAGCTCTTGCCTTCTGAGCTGTGCAGATATTTCATAGGCAGAGCTGCAGGCTAGTGTGGGCTCTCTGTACGGTGCTTGCACTGGCCTGGGACTGTGCAGTGCTGTGATAAAGATGGTGTTCAACAGTGTATCCTCAACAGACTTGTCTGTCATAGTCTCACAATTCTCGCTGACACCTGAGTCCCTGCCCCCGTGGACACTCACCGTTGATTTATAATCTGCCCTGATTCTCAGACATTCACCCTGCAGATGCTGCCTTCTGTGAAAAGTCTAGTTATTTCTTTCCTGCGTTGTCTAAGATCCTCTGTGACTACCCAGACCTTTGACCTTGATCTGACCCTGCTTGTCCATTATCAGACTTGAGAGGTTCTCAGAAGTGTCTGCAGTCTTGAACTGTTACTCTGAATAAAACAGTGTTTCCTGAGATGATAAGGAAGTTCTCATTCAACATGCTAAATAGCCTCAAGCTCCCAAAGAAACTAATTTACCAGCATGACTTTGAGCTTATGTCTGACTTCTCTAGCTGCACAGTGCACAGGAACTTTCTACAGAGCTTGTTTATTCTGGCAGGACTCGGACATTAGCATGGATCAAGGAGTCATGTTAACCCTAGGATCCTGAATCTTTTTATTAGTATACGATCAAAGCACAGCATATGCATATGACAATTCCAAGAATTAAAAAAATTAAAATTTTAATTTATGTATATGAGTGTTCCATTTGCATGTGAGCATTCATGACAGAAGAGGGCATCAGACCCCATTATAGATGGCTGTGAGTCACCATGCGGTACTGGGAATTGAATTCAGGACCACTGGAAGGGTAACCAGGGCTCTTAGGCACTGAGCCATCTCTCTAACCCTCCAAGAATTTGTAAAAACAAAATATTTGTGGTTTACATTATTATTAGAAAAAAAACCTCATCAATTTGTTCTGGCTGGATAGCCAATCAGATTTTAAAATAAAGACGGGCAGAGAATTTATCTCAGTTGGCGAGTCATTTGCCTAACATGTACAAAGCCCTGGGTTCAATTCTTGGCATTGCATAAACTCGGTGTGGTTGTGGGGTGATGGTTCCTACAAGTTCAAGGTCATTCTCCACCACATAGTGAGTTGTGGTCAACCTGGAATATGTAATACCCTTACTCAAAAAACAAAAAACATTTTAAAGACACTTTGGTGTCTTTTTTAAGCAAAGTAGTTTGACAACATTGCCTGGCAGAACTCCTTTGGAAACTTGTTTCAGTAAATATGTAAAAGCCTCCTTTTGTGACTCCTTAAAAAAATAAGTGCTATTGAATTATCCTTTGACAATTTCCCGTAAGTGTGAAGTTCCTTCTGATTACTGCCCCATCCGCTCTAACGTCATCCCCAACCCATCACTCTCCCTATGTGTCTCCTCCCCACATCCACGCCGTTTTGTTTTGAGACACACCAAGTTTAACCAGGATTGTCTGTGGGGCCAAGAGTTTAAAACTAGTGGATCCTACGTGTGTATACAACTGAAGACAATGGCTGTCCCTTCCCAAGGATCCGTTGGTAGCCATCAGTTCTCTAATCTGCGATTGCCTGTTGATAGTCTGTCTTGTGTAGGCAGTCACAGCTGCCACGAGTCAAAAAAGACAGGATTTCACAGCCCTCTCAGTGCCTTCTGGCTCTTACAGCTTTTCTGACTCCCTCTTCCACAAAGATTCTTGAGCTCTAAAGCTAAAGAGGGTGCCATTTAACCTGGAGTATCTGTAGAAACAAATGTTGTCCTAGCTGAGTCAGAGAGGTCTCTTTGTAGTGAATGGCAGTGAATGCAGAGACCCACAGGCTGCTCAAGGTGCTGAGAATAAGTGTCAGTTGAGTACTCCACCCTAAACAGGCCATTTGCAACTCTTAATATCATGACTCCGCTCTCTAGGAGGGGCATTAGTACCCATATGCATGGGCATAGTCTGAATCAACCTTGGCCTCCACGGGTGGCACATACTTCCTTTGACTTACTGGAAACCTAAGAAAACAAAACAAAACACACAAAAAAACAAACTTCAGTGTGATCTTGTAATTGGGTTATATAAAACAACAATTTACACCATCTCTGGAAAAAGGCCTTATGTTGAGCAAACAAAACGTGGGTGCTAGTTTCATCTTCTGTCAGAGTCAGTACAAATTCTAAGCCTTGTGGAGTGATAAGACATGGGTTTCCCACTGGGAAGACAATGCTGAAGTCATCACTGTGGGGAAAACATTGACATTTTATACTGAATTCAATTAACACATGGGACTTTTTCACATTCTAAAGACACTCAGGGTGCATTCTGGGGTTTTCTTTTAATGGCTATGACAAGCAGCTAGGAGCAACTTCCTTCGTAGATACATTTCTACAACCATATGGCCCAAAGAACGCAGGTAGCCTGTTGAGGACTGGCATCAGTCTAACCAGCAAGCAGCCGCATAGCCCAAACAGCCAGTTGCCTGAGACTTTCATTTTTTCAAATCTCCCTTTGACACTGTTTTGGCACTGTGTTGCCTGGTACCAAAATCTGATTTCCCTCCTCCTGAGCCTTATTGCTTCTAGGTGCCTGGTGTTTCATTTTGGGTTGTTGTTGGTCCCGTCACCCTTTGTCAATAATATGCCATTCTCGTGAGGTAGTAATCAATACGACTGTACAGAACCATGACCTCTGTACATGCTCTAAACTCTGAGGTATGTTGAGAAATTAAATATCTAAACCAAAGCATTTGATACTGTATGAGATTAGAAGTATGACTTAGAGCTGTTTAACACAAACAGAGGCGGGATTTGTTTGTTTGTTTATGACTGGGGCTTGAGTCGGTGAGAAGACCCAGGCAGACTCACACTTCTCAGCCTGTCTCACACTGTTTCCCTTGTCCTTAGGTGCTTTGTGAGTAGACATGTGAACATTACAAGAGTGTCACAAGAGCACATTCTTCTTGGGTTTGCATGTGAAGAATGGACGGCTTGCAGTTACCACGAGACAAGCATCTATTTCAGGGGAAAGTAATCACTGTGTCATTCTCAGAAATTATAAAATAGTGTCAGGAGCATGAAGACTGCATGATTAAAAGCCTGGCTTTTGAAATCATGGGGATTGTAGGCATTCAGTGAGAAAAAAAAAAGGCAGCACATCAGTGATAATCTAACACACCATTGCATACCCCCCCACGTGTATCTGGAACTTATGCTTAAGTAAAACACGCCGTGTGCAGTCAAACTGTTCCCTTAGGAGGTCAGTTACAGACAGCCATAGGTTAGAGATGTGCATCACCTACCTCTGTGGTAGGTTTCCGGTTGCAGCCCTTACACAGGAATTGTCCAGTGCTGCTGAGAGGACTGCGAGGAGCTCAAAGGCGCTTGACACCAGTTCTGACATCTGGGTTCAGTTCCTGGGGCCCACGGGTGGGCCAGCTCAGAACTGACTCCACAGGTTGTTCTCTGGCCTTCACACGTGTACTATGGCACGCACACACGCACACACATGGACACACACACATGCATACACACGCACGCACACACACGGACACACACACATGCATGCACGCATACACACACACACGCACGCACGCACGCATACATACATGCACATGTAAATAAAACGTAGATAAGAAATGCTGTTGTTTAAAGGACTGTCCTGGTGGAGATATGGTTCAGTGGCAAGGCATTTGCCTAGCATGAACAAGGCCAGAGGATCCATCCCAGCACTGCAAGAAAATGGTAACAAGGACAGAAAAAGTGTCCCATCGCTGCTAATCAGAACTGATTTGCAAAATCATCAGTTTTAAGGCTAATTGGAATTAGGTCTTCTCTTGTCTCACATGTCAGAATAATACATAGTAACACTCTTTATGATTGGCAGTTTTATCAGTGTCGGGGACACGTGTGTATGTGTAGGGATTATTCTCTTCTCAGGTTCACTTTTAAAACTTTATTATTTTTAGTTTACTTTTATTTTCTGTATATGAGTGTTTTGCCTTCACGTTTGTCTGTGCACCATGTATGAGGAGGTATCCACAGACACCAGAAATGGGCGTCACGTCCTCTAGAACCAGAATCGCAGACAGTTGTAAGCTTCAATATGGGTGCTGGGAATCAAACCTGGGTCCTCTTGAAGAGCACTCAGCACTCTTAGCCTCTGAGCCATCCCTCCAGCCCCCATTTAAACATGGAAATAAATATGAGCACATGGATTTGTATGCCGAGTTCATCATTCAGCAGTGATAGGTTGAAAGGAATTTCTAAATTAATTTAAAAATTAAGACTTTGTCATGACATGGCTTCCACGCCCACGATGGATACCAACATACAGGCTAACACTGTGTCTACAAAATGTGTTGCTTGCAAAAAGTAAAGGCTCATTGTGCACCTTGCCAAGGAAATTTTGGGTAATTCTGTGGCTGTAAAAGGAACGGTTACTCTCAGGATTGCACTGCTTCGATCCACACACCTCTTTACATAAATGAAACAATCCCAATTCCAAACATTCTTTCAGAACTAAATCTGCTTTGTCCAAAGTCACCTAGGCCCCAGAGTTTTCTATATCTCTGTAAGCTAAGATTATTCTTGTCTTTTCTTTCCTTTCTGAACATTTGTGTGTGAGTGAATGAACCCTGTTTATTGGAATATAATTTAAAATATTTGTAATAAAAATGAGAAGAGTCCTAGAGATTGAACCTGTGTCTTTCTCAGTGATTAAGTCTTCTTCATGGCTTTCATGAAGAATCTCACCTTCCCAGTGCAGGACACCCATCTCCTGACCTCATCTCCCACACCTCGTAACTGAGCAGGCTGATGGGCAGATTGCAAGCACGCAGATGGGATGTGGACCTGCTGAGTGGGATGAGCACCCGGAAGCCAGTCAGAGCATTGACACAGTGAGCAGGAAGAGTCCTCCCAGAGGTCAATCAGTTTTGGCGTCCGTTCATCCCGATGGACCCTCGGACGCGCTGCAGTGCCTGACTTCCCGATCTCCATCCGACTCCAGTCCGCAATGTAACAGATCAGCCTGCAGACGGCTGGATCCAAACAGCAGCCAGTGCCACAGTGGAGAGAAAGGACCAGGACAGAGTCATGCTCCTGACAAAACTTTATTTGTTACAAAGTAAGCTCAGTCTGAAATACTGAGACACGTTTGTTCCCCAGGGCTGGAACAATACCATGTAGTGGAGAACACTTGTCCACCTTGCAGAAGACCTGGGTTCTGTTTCCAGCTCCTACACTGGTTGGCCCACAACTGCCTGTAACCCCAGTCTTTGGGGAACCGGACACCCACTTCTCCATTTGTATGTGCGGTGCACACACATACATTCAGATGCGCACACATAAATAAAATCTTAAAATAAGCACACTGTCTCTTACACATGGAAGGTGAGTCTGATTAGTGAGAACCTAGATCCTTCTAAGAATCTCACCTTCCCCAGCGCAGGACACCCGTCCCCTGGGTTGCCATGTGCTGAAAGGACGGCCTGCAGCTCCAGTCCAAGGGTGAGCCTCCCAAGGGTGAGCTGGTCTCCCAAGCCAGTCAGCAGCTGCTGCTAGAGAGTCTTCCTCCCGGTCCGGTGAGGCAACTCCACCCACGCCTGTCTGGCTAAGCAGACTGCAAGGCGGTTAGGCACAGAGGACTCTGCGTTGGATGGATTGTGTCTGACAGTAAAGGGTTCTGTTTCTCAGAACAGGTGTGTGGTGAGGTAAGAATCCAGGCTGGGAGGTGCTAAGCCCCAGTGTGAATCGTCTGTTCCTCCTGTGCTAAGCCCCAGTGTGAATCGTCTGTTCCTCCTGTGCTAAGCCCCAGTGTGAATCGTCTGTTCCGTCTGTGCTAAGCACCCGTGTGAACCGTCTGTTCCGCCTGTGCTAAGCACCCGTGTGAACCGTCTGTTCCGCCTGTGCTAAGCACCCGTGTGAATCGTCTGTTCCTCCTGTGCTGAGCACCCGTGTGAATCGTCTGTTCCTCCTGTGCTGAGCACCCGTGTGAATCGTCTG